TGAGTCTACCAGGTTGATCTCAGCCCTTGGGGGAGGCTTTGCCCTGGAGGAGGTAGGAATGGGGGGTGGGCTGGGGGGAAGGGAAGGGAGGCAGGAGGGGGGAGAACAAGGGAATCTGTCACTGATATGTTGAACTGAATGGTATTGTAAAATAAAATAAAAGGAAAAAAAAAGTCTACAGGGAACTATGACCACGCCTAACAGCAACTTTGAAATCTTCAAAAAGATGACAGGAACCCACAGTAATGATTCCACATGGACTATGATAAAGCCATTAAGCTGATTAACACCACCAAAGATCAACTTTGGACTACAAACTACTCCGGGCAATTTTGGGATGGCTAGCTGAAATGATCCAGATTCATAGACTACTCGAACAAAGACTTGAAACAAGCCCTGCACTTTCCCCTTATGCAGAGACTGGACAAATGATGTAGCTAACTCTCTTAGGACTTGACAATTAACCCCAAAATTTTTTTCTTTTCAGGATTTCCTAAAGATGCCTTCACCCCCAGAAAGCAGGAAGTAATTTTAAGAAAATGATGGTCACATTCCCAAGAAGTGGGGTGGGTGTTTTTGGTCATTCAATGGCTTATGGATATTGTCTTTGTTTATGATGGTTGGTTACAAGTTGTTAATTGTTAATGGTGAGGAAAAAAAGCTGAACAAGGAGATTAGATTAGAGTTTTTGTTTGAAGAAAAAGAAAAAGAAAAAAGAGAATATAGATATGAGGTAGATCACTGAATCTACTGAGGAAAAAGACAAATAATAGGATAAATGGATAGATCATTAAATCTACTCAAAGAAAAAGGGGAAGATATAAAAATGACAAAAGGTAGATTGAATCTATTATAAAAAGAAAAAAGAGAGAATATAGATATGGTATGATAAACAGGTCAATTATTGGATTTACTTTTAAAAAGGAACTACTTGTTTTAAATAGGATAAATAATGAAATTTTTTGTCTGAGTTTATCAAATATTACTGGACTGGACATTGTTAATATATATATAATGGAGGTTTTCGTCTGAATCTGTCAAATGTTAATGGACTAGACATTGTTAATGTATTTCTTGACTGTATATATTGTATATACTTATTGGATATAGTTTTTCTTGTATTAGTTATAAGCTTTTTTTAAAATTTTAGACAAAAAAGGGGAAATGTGGTGATATTGTGTTCCCCAAAATATTGTGCACCCTAATAAACTTATCTGGGGTCAGAGAACAGAATAGCCACTAGATACAGAGGCCAGAAAATGATGGCACACATGCCTTTAATCCTAGCATTCCAGAGGCAGAGATCTGCCTGGATCTCTGTGAATTTAAAGCCACACTGGAAACAGCCAGGCATGGCAACAGGAGCCTTTAATCCCAGGAAGTGATGTCAGAAAGGAGAAAGGTATTTAAGGTGTGAGAACCAGGAACTAAGCTGGTTAAGCTTTCAGGCTTTTGAGCAACAGTTCATCTGAGATCCACTTGAATGAGGACCCACAGGCTTCTAGTCTGAGGAAACAGGATCAGCTGAGGAAATGGTGAGGTGAGGCTGTGGCTTGTTCTGCTTTCCTGATCTTCCAGCATTCACCCCAATACCTGGCTCTAGGTTTGTTTTTATTAATAAGAACTTTTAAGATTCCTGCTACATAAGTCCTCCTTCAAGAACAGTGTAGTTTCATGTTTTTTCTTCAAGTTGGTCTTTAATATCTGAGCTGATCAGACAGCTCCCTCTACAGTCTCCCTGGCACCTTCGTATCTTTCTTCTTTTATTTTTTCTTCTTTTGTTCCTGTAGTAGTATATTGTATATTTTTGGAACAACAATTTTCCAATACATTTAAGGTCAACTTTCCATTTAAAATCTCATGTGGCAGAACTGTCATCATCCTGTTTTCTTGCCTTTCCATTACCTACTATATTATAAGAACTTATCTCTTGCTACTTTCAAATCTAATATAGCCTTTTCAACCTTTTCTAAATTTTCATATCACTAACAAATTTCTCTTACTGGAAAAAACTGGGTTCTGTATTTGTCAGATTTCTGGAGAAAAACAAATAAGAGAACATATGTACATATATTTTTATATATGCATATATACAGGATATGGAAATGTGTGTGCATCTGTGAACAGATTCAGACACAAATATTATGGGACAGACACACAAAAATGGGGACAAAGAGAGAGAGAGTTCTTGGCTCCCCTCATTATAAGGCCAGACAGTTACAAGGTCTGCATTGGCAAGCTGGAGGGAGACCCATGAGAGCCAATTGTGTATTCTCCAGTTTGAAAGCCAGCAGCTGTTGAGATCCAAAAACTATGTTTTAACTGGAATCTGAAGGCAGGAAAAGCTGGTGTCCTAGCTCAAGTCTTAGAAGTTCCTGCTTGACCACAGCACTTTTGTTCTTTTCAGGTATTTAAATTGAGGGGCACAGACCGATCCACAAAAGGAGAGTGTGTTTTACTCTGCCTACCAATTCAAATGTTAATTTCACTCACAAGCATCCCCACTTACAAACCCAGAAAAATGTCTCACCAGGTATCTGGACACCAGAAAAGCAGTCTGGAGGTAGCTGCTGAACTGAGTAGATTGTTAGAGAATCTATAGGATGTGTGTGGTGGTGGTGGTGGGGGATCGGCGGACGGGACAGGGGCCCCAAAGCAGCTTGAGCACACAGCTGCCATGACAGATTTAGCAAGTTTAGAAGCTGAGACACAGCTCTTGTGACAGGCTTACTGGCAGGCAACACCCAAATCCAGGAAAAGCTATAATCTCACCCCTCCAAGGGAGGTCCTGCATCTAAGGAGAAATACCTGACATTCCAAACATCCCCAGCACACACTTATACTCCTAGACAAATTTCAGTTAATCAGAGTCCTGAACCCTGGAAATCTCCTATCCTCAACCTCTGCTATGATAAAAACCCCAACCTGCCCGGGCTTGGGGCTCTCTGCTCTCACCACCACTATATCAGACAGAGAGACCAAGCTCTGAGCTTGAAATAAAGGCTCTTTGCTTTTACATATGGGATTTGTCTCCATGGTAGTCTTTTGGGGGTCCCCTTGATCTGGGCAAAGGGACAGAATTTGCAAGGTTATAGGTGGCTTTATTTACGTTCAAGGACAAGACCATGGGTTCTGAAAAGAGAAGTCAAGAGCAAGGCCTGACCTTGCTGGTTAAGAATATACATTTTGAAGCCAGAGTCTGGGGCCCAGAGTCTTGTGGCCTAAACCAAAATATCTAGAACCAAAATATCTTGTATTACTGATTTTCTCTTCACTCTGGTTTCTTCATGTATAAAATGGACAGGGTAATACTTCTTATTTCATAGGACTGTTGTAAACCACAAGTTAATTTATGTAAGTTATAATACATATACTAATTAATATAGAAAGCAATGCAAAAAGTAAGCTTTCCAATGTAGTTGATATTTTCCAGATTATCTAAATAGAAAACAATGCAGAAGAGTAATTACAGGAATAATTCCTTCCAAGATCACTATATCTTAATAAATCTTTGGCTTTCCTTCCAAGATCACTATATCATAATAAATTTTGACTTGCCTTCCAAGATCACTATATCATAATAAATCTTTGACTTCAGAAAAACAAAGTCTGATTTTTAGAATAAAAGAGCTCTCTTTTTAGAGTAGGGTAGATGGCTCAGCGGTAAGGAACACTTGCAAGAGATGCAGAGATCCACGGCTGGGCGCCAGGTTGAGCTCCAGGAGTCCAATCAATGAGAGGAGGGATTCTATAAGCAAGGGACTTCGAGATCATGATAGGAAAACTTACAGAGACAGCCAGCCAAACTAGTGGAAACTCATGGACTGTGGACCAATTGCTGTGGATGGAACTGGACTAGGTCCTCTTGATACACAAGACAGTTGTTTAGCTTGAATTGTTTGAGTGACCCCCAGCCAGGGGTATTGGGATCCATCCCTGGTGCATGAGCCGGCTTTTTGGAGCCCAGTGCTTGAGATGTGACACTTTGTGCAGCCTTGGTGCAAGGGGGCGGGGCTTGGACGTGCCTCACCTGAACGTACCAGGCTCTGCTGACTCCCTAAGGGAGACTTTGACTTGGGTGGTGGGTTGGGGGTGGGAAGGCTGAGAGGTGGGAAGAGGGAGGAGGTGGGGGGGGGATCTGTGGTTGGTATGTAAAATGAACAGAAAATTTCTTAATAATAATAACAAAAAAGAACACTTGCATGCAGTGCCCCCAGGGAGGGAGAAAAGGGTGATGGATTCCCAGGAACTCAAGTTACAGATGCCTGTGAGATGACATATGGGTACTAAGAATCAAACCTGGGTCCTCTGTAAGACCAACAAGTACACTCCTTCTCTGAGGTCAAAGATTTATTATGACATAGTGATCTTGGAAGGACACTTTGGTCAGGGGCAAGAGAGATTTCACCTTTCATCATACTTTCTCTTCCTATCCCTGGTAACAACAGTGATTATTCCCTCAAGGCCACTTGCATATAAGACTGGAATAGTCAGCACCACTAGTCAATTCCTAATTGAATTCCACTATGTGAAATGCAGAGAAAGGGATCAGTCCTCCTGGGAACTGGGATTCCATAAAACATCTGATTGCTTAGAGGATGAAGAAAACTTAGAGAGAATGGAATGACAGCAAGGAAAAGACAGTGAGCCCATTGGCAAGGCTAGAGTGAATGAGAGCCAATAGCCCAAGAGCTCTCTTGAGCCCATAGCCTACATTAACTGTTTCTAAGTGCTACACATTAGCAAATACACAAAAAAGATACTATATTAAAGACTTGAAGTTCAAAACAGCAGACTGATCCAGTTCCATGGGGGCTCCAAAGCCATTGGTTCACAGTTCATGCGTTTTCACTAGTTTGGCTATTTGTCCCTATGCTTTTTTCAATCATGGTCTCACTCATACAATCCTTCCTCTCTCTCACTGATTAGACTCCTGGAGCTCTACCTGGGGCCTGGCCGTGGATCTCTGCATCTGCTTCTATCAGTCATTGGATGAGAGTTCTACCACGACAGTTAGGGTGTTCGAACATCCAGATCACCAGTGAGATAGTTGATTAGCTTGAACTGTTTGGGAGGTCCCCAGGGAGTGGAGCTGGGACCTGTCCTTAGTGCAGGAGGTTTTGGAGCCTGGGACCTATGCTGGGACACTTTGCTTAGCCTTGGTGTAGGGAGGAGGGGGACTGGACCTGCCTCAGCTGAGTCTATCCAGCTGGACTTACTCCCCAGGGGAGACCTTGCCTTGGAGGAGGTGGGAATGGGGGACATGGATTGGGGGGGAGGGCTGGGGAGTGGGAGGAGGAAGGACAGGGGAATCCGTGGCTGATATGTGAAATTAAGTTAATTATAAAATAAAAATATTAGAAAAAGATATATATATATATATATATATATATATATATATATATAGAGAGAGAGAGAGAGAGAGAGACAGCAGATTGAACTCATTTTTGCCTTCTTTATTCTCTAAAGTTCATAAAAAATCAGTGTGTGTGTGTGTGTGTGTGTGTGTGTATACTTTATGTATATATATTTAAAGATGATGAAAATGGCAACAAGAACAAAAGGAAAGTATGAGGATGGTGGCCCAACAAAAAAGTGTTGGAACGTGCTTCTCCAAATTCACACAGGGAGAATTGTGCTCACATACTATGAGGCACTCAGTCTGCAGACAGTTTTAAGGAAACACTAGACTAATACACCTAGGCTTGACAAAAGCCTATCCCCAGGGGGTAAGGGAAGTGAAGGTTTAAAAAAAATTGAAGATTTGTATAGAGAACTGTCTCTCAGCCTTCCTTATCATAGGACGGGGTCTGATAGTCCAGTACTTACTACCAGGAAAAGATGTGTCTAAAGAAATTAAGTGAACTGGCAAGGGAGAAACAGAGTGCCTAATAAAACTACCCTAATGATAATGTTAGGCTCTACTTGGTCCAAAATTTGGACTTTCTAAAATTCCTTTTAAAAGAAACCTTCCCATCAGCAAGCTGACCACACACAGAGAGTGCCTATCTATTTTTCCCAATCTCCCCTAACCCATCCCGGTTCTTAGCTAAGAGCAGGTGCTTCGGTTGCCTGCTGCTATATAACAAGTTATCCCCAAACTTACAAGAAACAACAGAAATACATATGAGGAGCTCCTAAGTTAATTCAGGGAAGTGTGAAGTTAACTCTTAAAACTGATGCTGTAGAAAAGACAAACTCTTGTAGCTATGACTCCCCTGGGAGAAAGATGCTGTGCTCCATTCAATAGTTCCTACCATGTGCCCTTGTCTGGCCCATCAGAGTAAGTACATTATGTTTTCAATATTATTCGACTAAGCCATGCCATTATTGATGGCCTAGGACATGCCAATGAGGTTATTCCCAGAGCTTTCCTAGGATGCATATTTGCCCCATTTGTAATGTTTTCCATAATTTCCAGAAAGCTGTTTGAAAACACACATTTTAATTACTTGCTATGGTTTGGATGGGGTATAAATGTGTAATGATGAATAGTACATGTGGCTGTGTACAATTACATTCTGTTCTGACTTTACTAACCCCTCCTTTGCTATGTAAGGGTAACGATAGTGCAGAGGCTAGAAGCTTGGTTCGTGTGATAAGGCTGAGGTGGTGGAGCTTTTAAGAGATGGGACCTAGTGCAAGGGAAGAATGCTGATCTCACAGAGAGATTATTTGAAAGAGGCCATCCAATACTTGCTCCTTTTGAATGTGGCCGATTCTCCATCTGTTTCTCTGTCATGTTTGATGCAGCAAGGGGCACACCAGTGAGAAACCAATCAGATGGGGCCTGATCTTGGGATTCTTCAGCCTCCAAAACTGTGAGCTAAATGGGCCCTTTTTTCTTTATAAAATATACATCAGGTATTCTGTCATGGCAACAGCAAACAGACATCATTTAAAATATTTCAGTGGCTTCCCATTGCTCTTCTAATAAAGGTAAGTTCCCATATCTAGCATGCCAACAAACTTCATTTCTCCCACCATCTGACACCTCTATTTGTTTTCATTCTTAACCCTGATGCTGTAGAAAAGCTGCACTCTTGTCAGCTCTGACTCTTCCAGCAGAAAGAAGCTTTCCTGGGGAAAGGACCAGCTCTCGCTTGGCCTGTGGTGTTAAATGTTTCTAATTTTAGCAGGTGTTTCATAGGGAGAATAGTAAGATTCGCTTCTGGGAGAACTATACACTGAATTTTAAGCTCGTTTTAATGGTTTCTACAGAGGAAGTCAGAATAATCCTGACCAAGACTGAACCAAACTACACCAGATGTGTTAATTCATGTCAAAACATGATCATCTTTAAAAGGTTGTTAGCAAAAGCAACCTAGAAAAGAGAAAGGTACATATTTATAGTTTTTAAGAAAAATCATTTCTACAGTTACAGTAAAGGATGTCTTGACTCAGTGCAATGACCACCAAGCCAGAAGTGTAACCTATAGGGGATATGCACTTAGCTGTTTCCAGGGCTCAGTAACACCAGACAACTTCCAGCTAACTTCTTTCCTAATTAGACTCACTAAACAGCTTCTTTTTGGGAAAGTGTTCCATTTTCATTTGCTAACAAAAAAAAAATCAATTAAGTCAACCAAATGATTAGCTTTCTTATTTGAAATTATTTAAGCAAATTGGTATTTACTGGACATGAGTTCATTATGAGATTCATATTTAGCTATAATCATGCTAGACCATCAGGTCCATCATGAATTTGATGATGGAGGGCTACCTCAAGAATCATTCTAGATGTTAATTAACTTCCCAAAGGGATATGTCAGAATGATCTTAAAGTATATATTGCATTAAAATGGAAACACTAATAGAAGAGAAGCCTGGACTTCTACTCCCACCAGGTACTTACAAGTTGTTCTCTTCCTACTTCTTTCAGAGGACAGAGGAAAGGAGCAGTGGACTCAAACAGGAATAGAATCACCTAATTGGACAATGGGGGGAAGTTAACCAAATCAACCAACAAACAGCACCTCAAAGACCTATGAGACCATAACTAAAGAACATGTGTTTCATTGGGGTTACAGAGAAAGAGAAGAAACTGGGAGGGACTGAAAAAGTCCTCAAGAAGCAATGGGTGAACTCTTCTGAAACTGGGAAAGAGAAATTAATCATCAGAATCAAAAAGCTAAGTACCCAAAAAGATAAAATCTGAGAAATCTACCCCAAACTTAAACTTCTGAATACTAAAGATACTGGAAATAGCCAGAGGGAATGATGCTTTCCTAAAGGAAGAACTAATTCAAATGACAGTGGATTTTCACTCAGAGACCACAAGGTCAGAGCAGTTCACTAAATACTTGCCACTTGCCTGAAAGGTCAGCCTAGAGCTCTGTTCCCTGTCAAGGTTTCCTTTAGGGAGGCAAGAGAAATCAACATTCCCAGATACAGAAAAACAGACTGTTGCTAACAGACCTATCTAAAGCAAAAGCTAAAAGTTCTGTAGACAAAAATAAAATGATACCAAAGAATCTTGAGAGATAAGGAAGAAGCCAGGTAAGCAAAAATATCAGTCACCAGGCTCTTTCCCCTCACACATTTTCTGCATCTGTTTGAAAATTGAAGCAAAAAGCATACTATTGCCTGAAATATGGTTGTAAGCATATTCAGATGAAATGTTTAAGACAATTACAATATAGAGAGTGGGAAAGGGATATAAGAGAAAGTACTTTATACTTTATTCAAACCGGCAGTAAAATCTCAGTAGAAAGTTTCAGGGAAGCACATCTAAGGAAATATGTCTTCGATTTCTAGCATGACTGAGAGGAAAAAAATCAATGACTTGGACTTGATGTCATTGGGATGGCAAGCTACAGAATAGGAGAGAGGTTTTGCAAGTGATATCTCTGACAAAGTCCTAACATCCAACATATCTAAGTCAGTCAGGTGTGATGGCTCATGTCGATGACCCCAGTACCTGGAAGGCTATGGGAGGAGAATGACTGAGAACTAAAGTCCACTATGGTCTGTGCAAAGAGCTTCAGGCCAGTACCTGCTATATCACCCAGGAATTCCACTCTTGAGCATTTATCCCACAAAAATGAAAACTTGTATTCACATGAACACATCAATCAATGGGTGAGGGTTATTGAGATGGTTCAGGGGGCAAAGGTTTTGCAGCCAAGCCTAATGAACTGAATTCAATCCTTGGGGACCACATGATGAAAGGAGAGAACTGATTCCCACAAGGTGTTCTCTGACCTTTGCCACACCAACACTATGTCATGTGCATGTACACATGAGTACACCTGTACACACACACACACACACACACACACACACACACACACACACACACACGAGTAACAAATTGGAGCTATCCTAGTTGGCTTTCTATTGCCATTATAAGCACTCTAACCAGAACTTGGGGAGGAAAGGCTTCATTTTATAATGTCCATCATGGTGTGAAGCAGGCAGGAAGTCAAGGTGAGAACCTAGAGACAGGAACTAAAGCAGAGGCCACGTAATAACACTCCTTACTGGCTTGTTCTCTATGGCTTGCTCAGTCAGGATTCTTATACAACCCAAGACCACCTGTCTATGGGGCTGGGCAGTATTTTCTCAACTGATGTTCCCTATTCTTAGATGTCTCTAACTTACGTCAAGTTGCCAACAACAAAACAAAATCAACACAGCCAGGAAGAAACAATGGGTGAACAGTTCAACTGTGGTATATCCACACTTTGAAATGCTATTTAGCAATAAAATATAAGAAACCATTGAACCATGCAACAAAACCTGGATTAATCTCCAAAGAACTGTGTCTAGCAAAAAGAAAAGGAAAAAATAAATAAAAGCCAGCCCTCAAAGCATACATATTATGTGTTTGACTTCAACTATGTGGAATCCTTTGTCATTTTGTTTGTTTTGATTTTTCAAAGCTAGACTCAACCTAGGTACTCATATGTTTGCTATTCTACAACATTACAACATTCTTTAAAATACCAAACTACAAAGAGAACAAATTAATGCTTCCAGAAGCTGAAGACAGGGTTCTCTAAACTGACTCTAGGGAACAGTGCTTTAAATGGGGCAATTTCTCTATTATTCTGCAGGTATGTTTACAATTATAACAAAAAGAAAACAAAGAATACAAGAATATTACCCATCAAAGATGAATGGAAATTTCTTACAAATTTTATCAATTGTTTCCTTATGTTTTCTATTAAAATAAAAATAATAGTTACTGAACACATCATGAGCATTTTAATACTGTCTCACTTGATGTTCACAGAACACCCTGAGGCAAACAGCATCATCCCATTTGTACTTGTATCCAGGGTTTAGAGAAGCTATGCAGCTTATCTAAGGTCACACAGTTGGTTATCAAATGACAAAAATGAAGACTGACATGAAATTCCTGGTTCTGAAACTGTGGTCCTGATGTCACAGTATCCTTTAAAGGTAATGTGTTGAACATCACATGGGCAGGACTTTATTTTGGAGTAATAGGGAGGAACCTCAGATTTTAATTGTTTTCCTTTCAGGTAGTTTTTTTTTTCTTTTTTGAACATATCCTTTCTATACTGCTCACATGCTTGAGTACGGATCCATTTCTTGTATTCCAGAAGCATCACAGTCAAGTTGAGCCTTTTTGGCTTCACCAGCTGTCCTGATAAAATCCAATGGTTCCTAAAGTAAGTTTCTAAATAGTTTGTAGAAACACTGGCAGCCCCTGCCTGCAGTATCCAGGCATGTTCTAGTCTTCTGACTCTCAGGAAAGAATATCTGCCCCTCCCCCACTTCCATCCTCCTTGCTGCCTGGGGTTTCTGGGCAGTGAAGGCAGAGGGGTTCAAGTTTCATGAGCAAGGAACACATTCATTTTAAAATTCTCACATTGTGTGACTCCTTAGCCTGCCTTACCAAACATCTCACATTTTCAAGGCTTGGGGTTCTGCATGGATATAGAGAGTTTTCTAGACTCCTTAAACACTGGAAGCATCACAGATATTCCAGTAAAGAAAAAGTTATACAAATCAGCACTTATTCACTAGGAATCTTTCTCTCAGTCTTTTTTAAAAGTTTTGACTATACCTTAACTTAGTTATTTCCTAGGTACAGGCTAACTGAATTCAATACGCTAAGTGACTTAATCTCACCCAGTCACAAAGTGAGCATTTTTATCATTTCCATCTTCTATGAGACACAGACATGTGGAGTTAAGCCATCTGCCAGCTTTAAGCTACACATGGTATGGAATTTCAATCTAAACTAGTTTTGACTCAAGAGTCAAAAAGCTTAACCATCATACTTCACTACTGCTTCTTCATTTAACTACAATACCTATTTTATAAAGTTATTTCCATATGCTTTAGGGAACATTAGAAAATAGCTGGTCAGAAAATAAATGTAAAAAATGTCAGAGAAATAGTGGCTTAAGTTTTTTATAAAATAATTTGGAAATTACAGAAAAGATGCAAAAAAAGTAAAAAGAACTCTCCTCTGCCTCCAGCTTTGTTCCCCACTGGTTAGCTTGATGGTTACTGTCTCTCCTGTGCTCTTTCTTTCCTCTGTCTACACACAAATGTGCACACACACTTAACTTACACATTTTTTTCTCAAAACAATCGAGAAAAAGTTACAGGCTTGAGAATCCATTATTCTTATTTCCTAAGTAAAAGGACACTCTCCTTATAGGAACTCAAAATTGGTAAAATTTATACTGAAACTATATAATTTATAAATCCCTTTCAAAGTTGTAAAGGGTCCCAATAACATACCTTAAAGCAAAGCAGACTATAATGCATTCTGCTACAAGGCATATCTGAAAGCAAGGGATACATTTCACTGACATTAAAATTTCTTCAGTCTGAAATAGTTCCTCAGTCTGCTCATGATGTTCAAAAATGTTAAGAGCTGGACTACTTATTTTGCAGAGTTCACAATTTGAGTTTACTTGTGCTTCCCCAATATTAGATGCTGTTACTTTGGCAAGAATAACATGAAATTATGTTCTTGTCTTCTTGGAATATCAAAAATATAGTGTTGGTGTTGGCAAGATAGCTCAGTGCATAAAGACACTTTCCACTAAGCCTGACAATCTGAGTTCAGTCCCTAGAATCCAGATGCTAGATGAAAGAACTGATGACTACAGGTTGTCCGTGTGTGTGTGTGTGTATGTGTATGTGTGTGTGTGTGTGTATGTGTGTGTGTGTGTGTGTGGTGTGTGTGTAGAGAAATATTTTTAAAAATTAAAAATAACCCAATGTTGATGTGTTCTGTTCTTATTTACATGAATTTTCATCACTAGGATAAACTGGTGAGTACCAAACTTTTCATTGTGATTTACATAGTCCTCAGTTTATAATCAGTAACTATTTTATAGAGATCATGTGAAATTATGTAAATATTTTGTTTCACATCAAAACTTTGCCTACTACTTTATTATTTTTATGAAATGATGTTTGATGTCTAACTTTCTATAACTCCTCCTATTTTTATTGGTTAGTATATAATATAACATAATATAACATAACATAACATATATTTTATATTATATTATGTTAATAATATAATATAATATATAATATAATATAAAATATAATATAATAGTTAGTAAATAATATAATAATATTAGAGCAGTATTTCAGATATCCTGCATATTAGATATTTACATTATGATTCATAACAGTAGCACAATTACAGTTATGAAGTATTAATTAAATAAATTTATGATTTGGGTCACCACAATATGAGGAACTATATTAAAGGGTTGAAGCATTAGGAAGACTGAGAAACACTGTATTCAAAGGAGTTTATCCCATATTTTTAATTTATATATCTCACTATTGACCATTAGCTCTCATTTCAATCAATGGGTTATGATCCATTACTGTCATTGAAATAAAGTTGTCTTTCAAACTAGCAACTATTATCTCTTACCAAATCCATAATTTTAAGAAAATGCTTCCTTGCTTTATAATAATCAAGATCTTCTGGTTTACCTCATACTTATCTTGCTATTGCCTGGAATCAATTTTTGTTTTGCTAAGAAGTTTGAGTGCATGTGTATGAGGGTGTGAGGGGATACGGGTACATGAATGTGTTTGTGGGAAGCCAGAAGTCAATGTCAGACGTGCTTGTTAATCTTCTGCCACTTTGTTTCCTGAGACAGGGTCTCTCATATCATAGGTGGCTATATTAGTCGGCTATCAAGCACCCGTGATCCTGTATCCACCTTCATAGCACTGGGATTACAGATGCACACTGCTACATATGACTTTTATTTGTATTGATCCTGGGGATCTGAATTCAGGTCTTCATGCTTGGAGAGCCAGCACTTCATATTTGTCGTCATGTCATAAATCCCCCAGTTTCTCTTACTGGAGAAAAATATTTGGCTTTCCAATATATCTGGGTCAACCATTGCTGTAGGGCTCTCTGGCTTTTAGGTTTTCATTGAACAGAACTTGGAAATGTAGAAAAAATGTATATAAGCACTTCTGTCTGTCCACTCATATAGATATAGAAAGTAATGTCCATATCTCTTTAGTCCATGGTGTGTGTGTGTGTGTGTGTGTGTGTGTGTGTATGTGTGTGTTGAAACCTCAGTTCATCATAAGTGACTAACTCCAATTTAACACCACTCTATTCACACTGAACTCCATCTTCTCAGTATTCAAGACCTTTCTCAGACA